GGGCGGAAACATTAAATTTCATCCGATTTCGATGAAATTTACTTTGTAAACTCTCTTCTATTAGAATACCTTAAATATAAAATATGGGGAAGATTGGTTGACTAGAATGTCTACAACTCGAAAAAATATGGGTTCGGTAATTATATGTGATGGAATTTCGGTAAATTTTTTTTCTTGCTGTTTACTCTCAGAAAACAATGGTTTTACTTAAACATTACATAGGCGTAAATATTCTCCTGGCTCCCAGCGCTCGGTGTGATTTTTCAATTGTTCGAAAAATTCTTTTCGCAAAATAATGCAAAAAGAAGCTGAAAATCGAAAATTACATATATTTGCAAAGTCGCGCGAAAAGATCTAATTACATATATATTCGAAAACTACATAAAATTCTCTTAAACATGCGTTGGAAGATGCTCGGATATTTCCCAATAGGAACAAAGATTCTTGTTCTGGGACCAAGGACTCCAGCCCCAACTCCTTCTAGAGTCTTGGAATCATCTGTGTACCAGTGCATTGTGCAATTCTGAAGTAATCCCTCGTAGGCGGGGTCCCTCCAGATTGCCTTGCTGCATAACTATATCTTGAATCTCTTCTCAAATACTATGGTTTTTCCAATGTCATCTCTGGTGAACAGAGCAAGCGGGAGCGAGGACCCTAGCTTCTCCATATTGCTACGGGATATTTCCATTCCTTTTCCACACCCCTCTCTAGAAAAGCTAAGCAGAGTTCTTTTGGGTACTTGCTCTATGGTTATGTGAAGAGGCTCGAGTTCGTGGACTACTACACTATAGGACTAAATATAATTTTTGCTTCCGCGTATGCAAGAAACTTACTAATTATGAGCACACCACTACTGCTGTGGTGTAGTGGTAAGCAGTGCGCGCTTCCACTCCGCAGTGCCTGAGTTCAAACCCTGGTCAAAGTAACATTGCAAAAAAATTTAGAAAGACGGTCACCCCTAGGCAGGCAATGGCAAACCTCCGAGTGCATTTTATGAAAACACAATCGCCGTTCGGAGTCGGCGCAAAACTGTAGGTCCCTCCCATTTGTGTGACAACATCAAGGCGCACGCCACAAATCGGAGGAGAAGCTCGGCCAAACACTAACGTATGTGCAAGCGCTAATCTATTATTATTATTATTATTATTTATTACTAAATTTAAAACACAATTATTCAAATATGATACGCAGTCGACTTGCATTTGTACTCACAAACAGATGCAAGGACTTATGTGTGATTGGCATGCTAAATGTGCAATTAAGTATAAAAATTATGAAATTCAACTATGTTGCTATTAAAATATTTCTTTTCGCGTGAATTTCACTTTTTGTCAAAATTCGTGGCGACTGTTGGACTTTGAACGAAACTTCATGCACGTTGAGTGCAATTATTTTTTTTCCTATACTGTGGTTCTGCTAATTGCATTTGTATTTTATTAAATTTATTAGTAAATATTCAGTAAGTGTTAGTGAACATGTTTGGTGAGAATTTTTAATACATACTAAATACATGGAAAAATTATAGTAGATACGTATATATATATGTACATACATATATCTACTAGTTAAAAACCAAACTTTAATACGAGTCATACACACAAATACACTCACATTTTAGATTTCCGCTTTTTAAATGATTCCAATTTTGTTTTTTTTTGTGTGTAATTTTATTTATTTTAACATTTACCATTTATTTACATTTAATTTACAACATTTATGAATATGCGTACATAATTTTCTTTTATACTCGTTTATATTTAAATTTATTTTCATTTGTATATGTATGTCTACGTTTATATTACGTCAAATTTTAGTTACTTAATTAGTTGAAAATTTATTTAATTTTACGCTAACTACGGTAATTAAGTTTTCCTTACTTGATTCACATTTTTCTTTTTTTTTGATTTATTTTTTCGTGGTTTTACGGTAGTTTATCATTTTATGTATATTATTTTTATTTTCATTCTATTCTAATTTTTACATTATTTACACAACATTTTTCATAATTTTTTGCTATTATTTTACTTTTGCTAATTATTTACACAAATGATTTTAATTTACATAATCAACTGCGTATTTAGGTATAAAAAAGCGATAATTCGATTTCATGCGTAATTAAAAGATCTTTTTTTCAATTGTATTCTCAATTGGGTAATTTTTAAAGTTTTCCTAATGTCATTGCAAAACAGTGCACTGAAGCAGGAAGATTTAAATAATTTTGTTATCACTGCGCAATCGAAAATATACATTAACGTAATAACCACAAATAATAGAAAAATATGCAAATTTATGCTGAGTAAACCAGAAATTTAAATTAACACATTCTTCGATTATGTATCCATTTAAGCCATTTAATATTCACGAAGAAAAATTGTAATTTGAGTAGTACGTTGGAACTATTTTACATTGGATGTACTGCCTGAAAGTATGCAATAATTAATTTAGCAAGATTTTTATTTTGCATGAATATCTTGAGTCCGTTTTAGTCTACAAATTATGGTATTCGAACGAAAACTATTCTTCACTGTTTTTTAAACTCGGCTCAAGTGAACCTAGTGCCTTTTAAATATATTAGGGTCTACCTAAAACGTCCCGGGAACTACACAAATTTGTTTCTGTTCGATAGCTATCGCTTAAGCGTTATTCTCCGTGAGTTAAGAGAGAGTTCTACTGCAATAATCAAAACACGTCCTTAACAAAATTTTAATGATTTTTAGAAAGCTTCAGTTTACTGATATTGGTAGGAACTGAAGTCTTGTGGGTAAGTACTAGAACGGGGTGCGTGATGTCAATGAACTTTGAATAACGAAGGTTTAGCCCTCAAGGCAGCAACATCGATATATCATACTTTAAGAACCGACTGTAAAATCCATCCATCATACATTCTTTTTTGCTAGATTGCATCAACTTCACTGGACCCGAGGTTTAGATAAAATTCATTTCAAATATTCGTTACCATTGGCCTCAGTAAAGAAATGAAATAATGTGCGAAGATGATCTTATGGAAATGGGTAGCGAATCATCACTAGAATCAGTAGGAAATAAATTCGATCTTTGGGCCCCTCATAAATCGCTTGTACACAAACAAAAGCGAAAAGATGATGATTTGGGTCACCCACAAGATGAAATGAGTCTTTATTTAATTTGTCAAGTCCTAGAATTAAAGCTGAATAATATCATCAACGCTTGGAAGGATATGAAAACTGTTCACCCAAAACTTTACGGACTTTCGAAAAAATTCATTTTCATGTTGCCTGCAATGTAATTGGAAACCAACAAATTGTGGCAAGCATCTTTGCGCACTCAACTAAAGCCTGGCATGTAAATGTGCTTTCAAATGTTGAGTTTGAATCAACACCCTGAATCTTTTTTTTTTGTGTTCCGAAATATGAAGAAGCATCTGTGAAGTGCAGAAGGCAATCGTACTGCAACGAAAAAAAGTTTCCAAAATTGGACTAGTCCAGGACTACCTTATGGACAGCGTTGAGTGGACCGGTCCTTTTCTAATAACACGCCAATGCTAAAAATGGCAGTTGAAACCACTGGCAGGGGAATTATGAGGGACTAGTGCTGATAATAATAGGGACTATCTGAAATACACTGCAAGTAGTCGGTTGGTAATCGACGGAGTTTACCCGGTGGCTACCGATTCATCAGTCCTGTAGTCACTCCCCCGGACTGCAGGCTATGTACATATATATGTGTGTATGTGTTAACTAAATTGTATACTCAAATAACAACAAAACTTGGGCATTAAAAAATATTTTTGCGCTAAAAAATAGTGATTAAATTAATTTCCACATGGTATTTTTTAAATGCCTCAAATTTTTTGTCATTTAAATACCTAGTGGAAATTCGAGAGCATTTCATTAATCTGTTAAAAAGTACTTAAAGGATAAAAAGAAGCTGTAATTTTTATCTACATAATTCAACATAATTACTTTACACCAGTAACAATTTTAAATAGTTCTATGAATTTTATATCGGCTTAATTTTCGATGAAAACGAAAGCGCAGAGTATGTAAGTATATGTTTTATAACACAAACAAATCTGGATGAAAGAATAAATGTTTTGCCCAAAATTAATTTTTGAGTGCATAAATGTAAAATAGAAGGATTTTCAGTGTTTCAGACTTAAAATTTAATTGATGTTTTTTTAAAGGAATTTTAAACATAAGTTATTTATATTTGTTAGCCATTACTGATCCGCAGGGTCTAAATTAACCCTTTTTAAATTTTTAAACCGATTCTCTCACTTGTCTTGGGTCCGAACAATCAAATTCTTTTACTTTCTTTTCTTCTGCCGAAAAATTAAAATTTTTTCCTCTTGGAATTTACCCATTGTAATTGGAATATTTTTTGGATAAACTTTTAATTTTCATTGTGGTTTCGGAGGAATAATTCCCCACGGAAGCAATTCCGGACAGTTCGTACAACAAATACAGAGCACTGGAGCTAGCACTTTCCAACCAACAAATAAACCGTGAATGATGTTTCCTATGTCAGTATAATTATGATGTAAAGAAAAAAATGACAAACAATAAACAATTATAAATGAATCAGCTCAGTAATTTTTTTTTGAATCCAAACAATAATTTTTTTCCAACCTTGGTACCAACCCCTGATTTTTTTTAATTTTGAGTGTTTCGTGGATGTCTGTATTTTGTACGTAGAAAAAAAAAGAAAATGGGTGGCCCATTAGTTAATATTTTGAGGACCATGCGAATGTATAAAATTAAAATAATTAATTTCCACAGACTTTTAAAATTTGCAGTGTTAAGGTTGAAGTTTGCTAAATTTCAAGCTTTAAAAAAAATAATTTTGATTCAGTTTTTATACGCTTTTAAATTGTTTGCATAAATAAGCTTTCTTTTTTAATTTTTTCAACAATTTACATACACACAAAAACTAAACATAATTTGCAAATAATAAAACTTAATTTAAAATTGTTTTAATTAAAAACGAAAATTGGTATAATAAAACAAAATTACCTACATACATACTTGAAAATACAATTTTTAACTTTTATTAAATATATATGTATGTACGTATGTTGTTATGCACGTAAACAAGTAGAGAGTAGTAAATATAAATACATATATAAATTTTGCTGAAATTCCAGTAGGGCATTAAAATGACAAACTGTATGCCATTTAAAAAATGTCATGTGGAAACAGACTTACTTAACGACTCTTAATAAATTTTAATGTAACGACATGAATTGTCACTTCAATGCCCAATAAAGATGTCGCGTTGTAGCGAACATTTGTAAAGGATATTTTGATTTTTTTATCGTCTTAAAAATAAAAAATTAAATCTGATAAAATAGACAAATTAAATACAGACATAAACCGCTTTGGAGTAAATTAGCTTAAAAATAGAATTTATTCTTTACAAAATAGCTTACTAAAATACTCATTTACATAAAATAAAATTACACAAATTGAAAGCAGTGAATTGTTGTTTGAAAAATCGAAACGAATTATTGTTTAATGCTGACCGTAAACTTTTGCGTACAAGCTGTGCGCTATGTGTTTATATATTTTTTAGAGATTTAGAAGTATTTCAATCAATGTGGAGATTCGATAGATAAGTTTACTCTAAGGTATACATTGTTATGGACATATCGTAGAAGAGTGCAAAGAAAAAATAAAAAAAATAAATAAGAGCTGTGTTCATTCATAGTCATTTTCAATGCAAATAAAACTAATGTAAACTGTACATATTTAGTATCGAAATATACCAAACGTCCGCTCAAAATGCATCAACGAAAAGTTTTTTTTGCAGACCGTGGCATTTTAACGCAAGAAAGAATGATGTTAATTTTAGTATTGCTTACTTTTGCATTCATATAGTGCATACATATCGATGATCGAGTGGAAGATCGACCTATCTTGGCAACCAGTTCGAAAACGCTCATACGCCTAGCTCAAAAAATTTTTCAACAACGCCCTATTTCAGACTTTTATTGAGAAACACCCTAACACAGAATTTTGTTAAGGAACACCCTATCTCAGAATTCGGTTCAAAAACGTCGTACCTCAAACAAAAATACACTGAAAATGTGCTGAGGTACGGCTTTTTTGAACCGCATTCTGAGATAGAGCGTTTTTTTCAATCAAGTTCCAAAATAGGGAGTTCTTCAACCAAATTCTGAAATTGGGCGTTGTTGCCGAGATAGGTCGATCTTCCACTCAGACATCGATATGCAAGTAGCAGATTAGTTTTTGCTTTCTTTTAAATATACATATATTTTGAAAAAAAAATTCAAGCAACGAAAAATGGATTTTGTGGTCGAGCAGAGTAAGTGGTTTTTGCGTTTTCTGACAAACTGGTATTTTTGGGTTAAGATACTTGTAAAGAACGTATGCGATATGTTGTTTGCTCTCATAGACGCCAAAGTTCGTACAATGCTGGGTTGTTGCAAAAAATAAAAACCAAACATCCCTTGGGTTGGTTTATTTTTAACGAAAGCAAAAACGCAAACCGCTCATTTTCAGCGCACGCTTGGCATATTGATTTTTTTTCCTTTGCATTTTGACGTTTTCGTGATGTTTTGCAGATTTCTTCTCTTTTCCACTGCATTTTCGAACACGTTACCATAATTATAATTTACGCTCTAACATTCTTACTTTTTCTAATTTGCATACACTTGCACGTCGCAGCGCGCAGACTATTATGCATGTATGTATGTATGTACGAGAATGTATATGCATATATATGCAGGTTTCCCTCAAATTATTCTCATTTCATTTTTAGTATAGTTTAGTATAGTCTCCTGCATTCGCTTACACATCTCGATTTTAGTTCGTTTTTATAAATCATTTTACTAATAAAAAGCTTTTAGCTACTAATTTTTACAACGTTTCTTTTTTTCTTATTTCGCTTTATACAAAATCACAAACGCAATTTGTTACTTGCTTGTTCGCATCACCTCGCATTACCTCGCATCATCGGTGCATCGCACATCAAGCGTGATGTCCTTCTATGTTCTTTCGTTGGCGCTTAGCACACGGTCGCCTGTCGTGGTATTCAATTTATCAATTGACGCTGTGCGTTGTTGTTGTTGTTGTCGCTGCTGCTGTTGAGGCTGCGCCTGTTGTTGCTCTTGCTTTTCGGTTCCTTTCAAAAATGGCAGCCGTGGTGGCACATTTCGGTTGAGGCTACTGCTATTACTGCTCGATTTACGTGCGAGTCGCACAATTTGCTGCAGCTCAGTCATTTCCTTAACGCTATTTGCATTTACTGTCGCCGTAGTTGCGGGCACTTTGGCATCAAACGCGCCGCCAATGCCATTTGTTAATGACTGATGTCGCGATTGCTGCTGCTGCTGCTGCTGTGGTGGCTGCAGTGCGGCTTTTGTGCCACGGCAATAGTATTCGATGTCATCGATATCACCCAGAATTGCCGGCGTTGCTGTGTCCTTTGTAGCTGTATCCTTCATCGCGGGCATTACTTGTGCTGCTGTTGTTGCTGTGGTTGCCGTATTCCTGAAGTCTACCGTGGGCATACGCCGTTCATTACCATATTCGTCTTCATCCAACGGCGTCCCCACACTCATCTCTTCGCAATCATCGTGATAATCATAAATATCATCGACCTCTTCGTCGTCGTCATCGTCATCCTCATCATAAGCTGCGCTATCAGGCAAATTAGATTCGGCATCTGTTTTTAGTAGTTTAGCTGCTGCTGCGTTGCGGCGTCCACCTCCACCGCCTCCTCTGGAGTTTTTGGACTTGCTTGGTATTTTGTTGTAGCGTGCTGTATCGCGTACGGAGCGATTGCTGGTGCGCTATATCGTGGAAGAGAGAAATTAAAGTGGAAATTATTAAATACTGCTTATCTATTGTCTTAAGAAAGTTATACATTTAAAGCTTTGCGTGTTTTTTTTTTTGAAGATATCTTACTTATGACTTAAACATTAGCTATAACTTGATTAGAAAATAAAAAGACTCGCGGATACTAAATCAGACGACTTTAGAGCAATAAGCCTTTCATAATTTTTCATAATCACTTCTGAGAATTTTGTAAATGCCGCCTATAGTTACGCTAGCACATACTGTAAAGGAAGATCCATATAAAAATGGTTCTCCATTCTTTAGCATCAAAAGTATGAGATCACTTGAAATTAAGAAATAGAACCGAGTAGCATTCCTCGACATAATGGGGACATTTAACCATATGTGACACGTAAAGTTAAAAGCGACCTACGGTCACAAAAATAGGTTTTCACTTTTTCATAGATCTTATAGTAAACGGGCCGCTCTTTCCAATGCAATAAACCGCAGCTTTCTAGCTGCATTAGTTTTTTCACAACTTCACTTCAAAGTTAGGTACTGTCACAAAAAAAGTACACAAAAAATGAAATCTGACAAACTATTCTGAAATTAATCAAATTCGCTTGAAACTCGTTACTCAGGGTTTTCGGGGTCGCTGATTACGAATCCGATGTTAGTTTTTCAAAATTAAAAATGGCGGATCCAATATGGCGGATGACTTTTTTTAAAAATTGATCGGATTCGCTTGAAACTTCCTTACTTATTTCCTTTGAAGCTACTGCATTGAGAAAAATGCTTGGTATAATACTATAACTATAATAAGAATTGGTAAGAACAACTTTAATATATATCATTAATACATATATATACTAATTTACATACATATCCAGAAATTCATCTGATTCGTAATCAACGACCCCAGGATACCCTTTAAGTATGAATTTATATGTGAATCCAATTTTTTTTTAAATTTCAGCCACCATATTGGATCCTCCATTTTGAATTTTGGAAAACGAAGGACATTTTTGAGTTTCACATGAATCCGAACAAATTTTAAATTCTTTCCGCCATATTGGATCCGCCATTTTGAATTTTTAAAAACGAACATCGGATTCGTAATCAGCGACACCAAAAACCCCCGAGTAATGAGTTTCAATCCATTAAAGCGTTCAGAAGCATCAAAATCAACTTGGTAAACTTCAAAGTCGTTTTTCTCGAAATATTTTTTTCTGAGCGTAGATCCCATTTAACTTGACGTGTCACATATAATTACTATTCCAAGTTTGGAGTCTATACATATTTAGTATAAAGGAAAGTCGAGAAATTTTGTACGCCGTAATCTCGAAAACTTCTGAACGGATTTTGACGAGATTTTCTCTCATATACTCTGTATCGGCAGGAGAGTGAACTTTTTTTACTTTGAAGTTAAATAGGGTTGCCACCTGCCAAAAAAAAACTATAAGATCCGCACCGTTCATTCGACTACAAAATACGAGGGTCAAATGAAAGGGATTGGCCTCTAGAAAATCACTAATGTTTTTTTTATAGGGTTGCCACATGTTAATAAAATTACTATATTCAATCATAAAAAGCGTAGGCATCAATTCTGCACCGTCATTGTCAAACGAAAAGATTTAGCCTCCACATGTGTAATAATGTATTATTTTTCTAAGTAGGGTTGCCACCTATTAAAAAATTAAGAGATTTTCGCCGTTCGTTGGATTACAAATTCAGATACCAAATGAAAGGGCCTGGGCTTCGCATGTACAAAAGCTTTAATTTTTTGAATAGGGTTGCCACCTGTTTAAAAATTACTATCTTCTATATATAGTATAAAGGAAAGTCTAGATATTTTGACCACGCTAATCTCAAAAACTACTGAACTGATTTTTGCGAGATTTTTAAAGTATAATCTGTATCGATAGGAATATTATCTTTGGTACTCTAAATTCCTATAGGGTTGCCAGCTGTCTAAAAAACTATTAGATCCGCATTGTTCGTTGGATTACAAGAAATGAGGTGTCAAATAAAAGGGCTCGGATTTTAGATGTTCAATAATGTATTACTCAAAAAGGGTTGCCACTTTTCAAAAATTATAAGATATTCTACGTTTTTGGACTAAAAACTGGGGTACCAAGTGAAGCGATATGGTCTTTAGTTACCAATCGTATCTTATTTAATACCTACACATCGGGGGCGAAGCATCGCGTATACGAGGCCGGCTAGTATCAAATAAATAAAACATGAGACAAGACCCATAAAATTGAAATTAACTATTACTCATACGCCATGACATTCTTTAGATGAATTATGTATAATGCGTTTGTTTTCACGAATAAACGACGTGGCACATACGCGTATTTCGAATGAATCGTATCAAAGTCGTACGAATATGCATTCCAAAACACAATGCCTGTGTAGATACTTATGCAGAGGAGCGAGTTACATGCTTCCCTGCTGCATTTGTTTTAGCTAAACACGTTTTTCGATATCAACGCGTCATATACTGAAATTATTTGGTAGCCAACCATAAATTGTTTAGCTTTATGCATAGCAATATAGTGTGCTCTTATGATTAAGCTTATTTCTTCAAAACAGCTAACCACCAGCTTACCACATGCCATGAATATTGGTAAGTACAAATAACTGAACAAACTGAATTGATCTCAATTGTATAGACAGCGTATAGTAAGACCAACTGCCCATAGCAATCAACACTGCACCGCTTAACCATTCAGGCCAATAGGCATAACATTCAATGGACCAACTAACCAACTAACCGACGATGCCAATGAACCATAACAGCGGCCAGTCAACTGTTTATGTATTCATACATCTGCACAAAAATGTGCATATGTATATATGTATGTGCATATAATTATATTTTGTCCTTTGAGTGTGTTTCATATATCCGCTGCTTAATACGTTTTTTGTATTGCCCGCTTAACATACGTACAGGAATGTACAAATACATACATACATACGTAAAATGCAAGTACATTAGAGTAGTCCAAAATTGCATGTGAAAAAATTTAAGTCGACATTTTAATGCTCTCAAACTCTAGCATTGTTCTATATCCAAAAAAAGTATACCCCAGCTTTTTTTATCTAAAAAAATAATTAGGTGTCGCTCAAAGCGCTTAAAGTTTCCCATGTATTTTATTTAAAAAAAAAAAAAAATGTTGCAGAAATGGTATCGAAACCTTGAGAATCAATATGTTAAACCGGAAAACTCTGCTTGTGTTCAGAAGACTTGAAATAATTATACCTTACTGTTTATTTAAGCACTAGCAACTGCCTGGCTTGCTTCGCAACGCCTGATTGGAACTTTTGCCTTGACCATTACAAAAATAATAGGGGTATTCTCGAAGTCTTGCACGATGCACGGATTGCATGATATGCAAAAATACTATTCCAAATTTCGAAGAGTACGAGAGCACTCCATAGCAAAGTGATAGCATGCATGGGTAGCAAGCAGCGAAATTATGTAGCAAATACAATAACAAGAGACAGCAAAAAAAAGAAGTGACAACTAGCACAGGGTCGCACTTATCTTGATATGCTATTTTGCAAAATATATATATGGGTTTCGACGTTGCATATTTTGCAGCGATAGGAAATGTTGTTTCCCATGTATTTTGTTGTGGTGTGTTTGCAAGTTATGCAATTCATGCAATCGGTGCTACGTGCAATGGCTTTGCAAGATTTGGAGAATACCCCTAATGTAATTTCCAGCAGTGAGATATCTGCAAGTATTGCAAGGTTCAAATCCACTGGAAGAAAGAGTTTTCCCGCTCAAACGGGGTCATTGATGTTCCTACCGCGTTCTTTCTACTGAAAAATAATCTAATTTTTTGCTGCGGTGTAAATACTAGTCGGACATCCCACTCGTTAGCATGCGACATATAATCACATGTCAAAGCAAAGTCTCAGAGAATACTGAAAACTTCTAGATTAAAATTGAAGGTCTGTGGGAATAAATAGGATGAGACTTATCGTTTCTAAGATATAGCTCATTAAAAATGTCACGCCTATGGGAGGTGCCACGCCCTCGTGTCAGATCTAATTTTTGTATACCCTAGGTTACGTCCGAGGTCACTCTCTATAAACCAGTTAAAGCCCCATGAAAGTCCATTCAGTAATTCCGGAGATTGGTGATTTTAAACAGACAAACAGACAAACAATTTTCATGTTTATTATGGTATATAGAAGATAGATTTTTTGGAGTTTCTGGAAAAAATAACAGGGGTATAAATTCGAACTTTTCTTCGTTCGTACCACCCTAATGTATATGCTTCTTAATGCGTGCTTGTGCTTGTGAAGAATGGTCAGCCGCGCTAATAATCCACATAAATGTCGAAATACGCAAAATGACGCACATGAATGGCTAAATAAACGCTGTCTGCCTAATTTCCAAATACAAGCGTGAAATTTTGCGTGTAATTTATGTTCTATAAATAGCGAACTCCAAAAAAAAAAAAAAAAAATTGAGGCCGATAAATGCGAAATACAGCGTAAATTTTCGATAGTTCAACTTCCTTCCTTTGGTCGCAGCAGCATTGCATTATTAGTGAAATTTGTAGCTTTGGCTAACTGACCCATCCGGTCATCGAACATGCACAATGTACATGTTGTATGCATGAACCTACCTATCGAACAACAAAAACATGCAATGCATATGCGCGTTATTAGTATGCTTACTTTATGTCTGCATTTTGATGTTGGCATGTGTGCTTTATGCGAATAAATATTTTATTTTGACCGCATTGTTATCGTAAATTAGCATAGTGAACTGTACACTGCGCTGCCCTGCCGTGCATTGTATTTGATGTGTGGCTAGTTGGTCTGCTTAGCAAAATAATGGTATGTACTTAACTTCAGTGAACCCACACAATGCAATTTTCTGAACATGGTTCATTATGTCACAGCTATTTAGACGCCTATTTTTAAGATTTTTTTTTTAAATAAATATAATTTCACCAGTTTTTGTATGCTTAATAAAAATTGTATTTGA